ACTTGTCTTTTAAAATTCTTTAAATTATGGAAATAATATGAAAAATCATTTAGATTATCCGAATTAAATATTTTTCCATTTGAATTCGATTCATTCGGTGATTGACAATGTTATCTTGAAATTCGCATTATCACGTGAAAGAGTATTTTTTAAAAAATAACAATTAATAAAATTCTCGATAAAATTATTTATTACATTCCTGTACATTGCTAACTTTTTGAAAGTTCCTTACATCATGACTGTATCATACGTGTTTAGATAAAAATTTTTACGAGTTTGATAATGAAACAACAAACGAATTTGTTTAATCGCCTATTTACCTTGTATAATATCCTATCACAGTGACGATATAGCAGGATCAATAAAATATATTGTTGGAATATATCGATGAATGCTGTGAGTTGTGTGAGTGATTGTCTTTTGTCTACTAAACTCTAGTTTCGCGAGTAGTTGATCTCGAGGCGTCGTTAAAAACGTACTTATATATTTTCAACCAGTATATTATCGCGTATTCTTATTAAATAATTAAATAAACTCTGATAGGTTATGGGAACGATTCCCGCGCGCGAAAATTGTGAGTAAAAATTAATCACGTGTAACGAACTTGAATAAATAAGTGAAAGAAAAAAACAAATCATGGCGTCTATGCACAACATTTCGAACATAGATAGACTAAATATACAATAATTATTTGTGAAAAGTGCATGTGAAAAGTGTCCCCGTATACAATGATTTATGGTCAGTCGTTGATGGAAATGAAGTGAAAACGGAACAAAACGAGGTAGAATAGACAAAGAAAAATGCAAAAGACTTGCATTAATTAATATAAATGTAATACAAAGTCAACTCATGTATGTAAAAAAGGCTATTACATCAAAAGAGGCATGGAAGAAATTAGAAGATGCGTTTAAATCAAAAGGTCCCATTGGTTCGTATGAACAAATTCAAGCGGCAGGCATAGAGCTGCCGGATGATTTATTGTCGATAATGAGGCTAGTTTCCTTACCATCCGAATATGAGAGTTTACCGCAGACGAATAGACAGTGCATGACCATGTATTTTCGCGGCCATGGTAATGAGGTCGACATAACCCCACCATTTTCGTGTCACATCCTGTTCTACCGATTTTGCGACCGTAGCACTACTAGTGAGAAAAATTAAAATTAAAAAAATATGAACAGTATTGCCAACAGATCTGTTTCGAGAATTATTTATTGAATGAGTGGTACTTCATCAATGAAGGAATATAGACAGCGAATTTAAAACAGCGACTAATGGAAATTGGGATGAAAAATTTAGTATATATTTGACTATTAACACCTATTTAAAAGTATTAGAAAAGATTGATTGAAATTTAATATTTTTATGAACAATATAATTAACTGTAACGTCCTTGTAGTCACAAATGTGTAAATTTACAACCTGAATGAATTATCTTTATCTCGTAAACTGGATTTTATAAAAATTTTAACTTATCAATAAAATATTTCTGCAAATATTGTTTGCAATAAAG